TGTGTGTGTGTGTGTGTGTGTGTGTGTGTGTGTGTGTGTGTGTGTGTGTGTGTGTGTGAGTGTGAGTGTGAGTGTGAGCGTGAGCGTGAGTGTGTGTGTGTGTATATATACATATATATATACATATATACACACACACACACACACACACACATTATATATATATATATATATATATATATATATATATATATATATATATATATATATATATACATATATATATATATATATATATATATATTTAATATATATATATATATATATATATATATATATATATATATATATATATATATATATATATATATATATATATATATATGTATATATATGTATATATATAAATACATACACACATACATATACATATATTTACATATATACACATACATATACATATATACATACATACATATATTTATATATATACATATTTACATATATATATGTATAAGTGTGTGTGTATGTGTATATATATATATATATATATAAATATATATATATATATATATATATATATATATATATATATATATATATATATATATATATATATACATATATATATATATATATATATATATATATATATATATATATATATATATATATATATACATATATATATATAATATATATATATATATATATATATATATATATATATATACATATATATATAAACACACACACATACACTCTACTAAAACAAATAAGACTCCATGAAACAGAGTAGGAACTTTTTAAAATTCATATAACTCCAGACTTTTAGAATATAATTGTGTATCAGTTTGAGATGTACTTATTAGTATTTAGAAGACAAAAATACAAAAGTAAAACAGACAAAACGATTTCATCAAAACAAATAAGTTAACAAGCTCTTCTTTCACTACAAAACTAGAAGAGAACTTATCCTACATTAAATTTTTTAATAATCAAAATAAAACAAAAATTATCTGATGTACTTTGACTTACAATTAACCAACATCAAAATAAAGCACACAAAGTGAAATCAAATCATTATGCGCTATTACAGAAAGCAGCTAATCCACACTTTGTAACTAGTAAGAACAAAACACAAATAAAGAAGAAGAAAAAAAATTAACCTTGGTCATGAACAGCTTAGTCTAACAACATTCCAACAATAAATAACTGTATTAATTAAAATAAGAAAAAAAAAAAAAAAAAAAAGACTACTTCTTCCTGATATCAGCAAACATTTTGTACACTTGTCGGGAATTCCTCAACATAAAACATACTGTCACTATATCATCTGAATCAAATCTGTAAGTGCGGACAGAGCAGCATAAGGTTTATCGCCAGTATGTGTGCTAATGTGCCGTCTAAAATTTGTTATACAGTGGGTCGTGAAGGGGCAATGGGAACACTTGTGGAGCTTCCTGTTGACGGGGGCCTTCATTAGTCCCGCAACGCCTCCACTGCCAATCCTGTGACCATCTCGGTTCAGCGCCACCTGTTGGGTACGCCTGTCTTACTCAAAGAGGTTTATAATAGGCAGTGTGTACTTATGATGAATAATCAAGAGTTTTTTAAAAAGAGAGCTTATTGTGTCGAGCTTAGGTTCCTTTTCAATGTACATTGTGCAAAATTTTAGTGTTCTAAAAGGAGGATACCTATCACATTAAAATAAAACTATATCACCTATAAATGTTTGAACTTTGAATCAGTGAGATGAAAAGGGTATTTTAATGGTATATTCTATAAACTTAAATATGATAACAATCATAACAATAAACAAATAATATTACTACTACTAATACTAATAACAATAATAATAATAATAATGATGATAACCACGGTAATAGTTAATAATAATTCAATAATAGTAAAAAACATAATCATCCTAAGAACAACAACAACAACAACATAATGATAATAATAATAATAATAATAATAATGATTGATAATAATGACAATGATGATGATGATGACTTTAGTGGTGGTGGTGGTGTTAACTAATTATAAAAACAAGATAAAAAAAAGAATAGTAACTATGAAGAAAAAAAAAAAAAAAAATCATAAAAATCATCATCATAATAAGCATAACAAGAATAATACCACTAATAATTATCATAATAAATAAAAATAATACCAAAGATAATACTGGTAATAATAAAGATAATGAAATTGCAGACAAGTACGAAGAGAAGAAAGAGAGAAAAGAAAAGGAAAAAAAAAAGAGTGCATAAAATAAATAAATATTCTTTTTGAACACATGGACAGCAAACTCTACATTTTACAGTGAAAAGAAATTTGATCTTTAAAATACCAGAAGATATACAAAAAATGTACACTTCTATAAAAAAAAGATTCCTAAAAGAATTTTCTTACTACAGATCAATGTAAATTACATATAGCCATGAAAAATAACTTTGATAATTTGGGTTATATCTTCAAATGATAAAACTCCTTATATTTAAGTTCAGCCTCAAGAAGAGGAAAGAAAATGAAAAGAAAAGGGAAGATAACTTCTTCCTTCTCTATCTCATATTCTATACCTATACGTTCTTTATGTCAATCAAATTATTCTGATTTTATTTCCCCCCAAATTCTTATCAAACGAAGCAAATACAGCTTATCTATTTGATTAACGGAAACATTACTTTTTACTTTTCAACTTGATTCAAAATCTTTTCACCACGTTCACAATGCAATCTTATCATGCCTAGCACAGCAGTAAGTCCATTTTTGTTCTTTCTGAACCCAATCCTGTACTATATAGGCATGACAAGTTACATCTTTAAACAGTAATATGTACTTCTTGACTTCATCATCACTTTCTGTAACTAACACAGGGTAAACGATATATCTATTTGTGATTATTAACCTCATCTCTAAGACAAGATAAGTTGTGCAATGATTTGAGAGTACTTATATGATTCTTATATCATTTCCTTTCAGTCTTTTTTTTTTTTAGTCTCTTTAACTCCTGCATCCCAATCCACTACATCATTACTTGTATGCCATTCCACTAAATCATTACTTGTATGCCATTCCACTAAATCATTACTTGTATGCCATTCCACTAAATCATTACTTGTATGCCATGCCATTCCACTAAATCATTACTTGTATGCCATTCCACTAAATCATTACTTGTATGCCATTCCACTAAATCATTACTTGTATGCCATTCCACTAAATCATTACTTGTATGCCATTCCACTAAATCATTACTTGTATGCCATTCCACTAAATCATTACTTGTATGCCATTCCACTAAATCATTACTTGTATGCCATTCCACTAAATCATTACTTGTATGCCATTCCACTAAATCATTACTTGTATGCCATTCCACTAAATCATTACTTGTATGCCATTCCACTAAATCATTACTTGTATGCCATTCCACTAAATCATTACTTGTATGCCATTCCACTAAATCATTACTTGTATGCCATTCCACTAAATCATTACTTGTATGCCATTCCACTAAATCATTACTTGTATGCCATTCCACTAAATCATTACTTGTATGCCATTCCACTAAATCATTACTTGTATGCCATTCCACTAAATCATTACTTGTATGCCATTCCACTAAATCATTACTTGTATGCCATTCCACTAAATCATTACTTGTATGCCATTCCACTAAATCATTACTTGTATGCCATTCCACTAAATCATTACTTGTATGCCATTCCACTAAATCATTACTTGTATGCCATTCCACTAAATCATTACTTGTATGCCATTCCACTAAATCATTACTTGTATGCCATTCCACTAAATCATTACTTGTATGCCATTCCACTAAATCATTACTTGTATGCCATTCCACTAAATCATTACTTGTATGCCATTCCACTAAATCATTACTTGTATGCCATTCCACTAAATCATTACTTGTATGCCATTCCACTACATCATTACTTGTATGCCATTCCACTAAATCATTACTTGTATGCCATTCCACTAAATCATTACTTGTATGCCATTCCACTAAATCATTACTTGTAGTGCTTATGAAGCATCCAGCTAGTAGTATACTGTGTTCAATTCTGATTTTTGTTTCACCAATTTTCTTATGTACTGGGTTCAATATGAACAGAATGATAATACACATACAAACAAACTTTACTTTTATTGCTCTAACAATAAAATTTACAATTCCAAAATTTAAAGAATATCAAATCTATTTTATGTTTGGTTATTACATTGTTTAACTGAAAACAAGTAAAATATAAATTAATTACAATAAAACATAACAAATTGGTAAGAACTCTAATCTTGCAAGTGCTTCAATAAAGACTTATTTAAATATCAAATGCCTGGTATGCTTTTATATTATTGTAGGACAATGTATTTTGCTTATACATTTAAACATGTAACATGGGAAGAGTTTACTTTCTGACCTATTGTGTTACACAATATAAATTGCTTGTTATTCTTTAAAAAATAAATGCAAATACATATACAGAATATTGTTTGGGTAAGACCATTTGCTTCAATGGCATAAATATGAGAACACAAATACTACAATTTTGTTCATAACTGATATCTCTATATAAAAATATGAACATTTTCATGACATTAATTCATTACAATATAGAAGCAAAGTAAGCATGTTAAAATTTACCACACAGTGCACTAAAATTCTCAATATACGTAAAATATTCTTGTTAATGATAACATATATTATTCATTTATATTCAGAGACAAAGGAAGGATAAACATATTATTTGACTTGATTAATATTAATACATTTTACTGTCAATAATACACGTACATGTATGTATGTTTATATCTACTGAAGTAGAGCTTAAATTTCAAGAATACCAAATGCCTAGTAATATGAATCCCAAACCCTGTTCTGGTGCTTTGTAATTCTCCAACTTGATATCACAATCAGACTAGTTTTTAGAACAGTAAAGAAAAAAAAGTTTCCTTCTACTGCGCAAACCGTTTGGGGTAGATATGAAAATAACCACAAGCAGGCAGACCCCACCAATATTTCCATCATCATCCTTCCAAGCCAGCCAACTCACACCACATCTGGCAGAGGTCTGTCCATGCTACTATGTGCATGGTGAGTAAGCATGTGGTTATTCAGATCAACTCTCCTTGCACACGAGAGAGGGCAAAAGGCACACCTGAAGGGCTTGACTCCCGTATGCCTTTGCATGTGACGATAGAGGTGATCTCTTGCATTAGAACGATACGGACAGTAATGACAGGCATAGGGCTTTTCCCCAGTGTGGGTGGACATGTGTTTCCGGTAATTTGTTATGAAATGACTGGCATAGGGACAATAGATACACCGGTGGATCTTGCGAGTCTTGTGTCCTCTCTTAGAGCCTGCGGTTGGATCTCTGGCATCCCTCTGACCCTCGTGATTCATCTCCACCTGTAGAGTTATGGCCATCTTACTTTTACAGCATTATATGACTAACATATCATACATATATTAAGTGTCTATTAAAATAATAATAAATACACAGTATATAATGAGTAAAAAATGACAGATAACACACTTTTTTTTTTTTTTTTCTTTCATACTGTAACATTTTCACCACAAGAAACTATTTTTAAAAGCATACCAAAATAAATGATAGTTTGTGTTCTTTAAATTCTAAATCATTATGAAGAAGGTGAGAGAATGAGAGGAAAAAGAGAAAGGGAAAGAGAAGGAGAGAGGGAAGGAGGGAGGAAGGGTACAGGGAGAGAGGGAAGGAGGGAGGAAGGGTACAGGGAGAGAGGGAAGGAGGGAGGAAGGGTACAGGGAGAGAGGGAAGGAGGGAGGAAGGGTACAGGGAGAGAGGGAAGGAGGGAGGAAGGGTACAGGGAGAGAGGGAAGGAGGGAGGAAGGGTACAGGGAGAGAGGGAAGGAGGGAGGAAGGGTACAGGGAGAGAGGGAAGGAGGGAGGAAGGGTACAGGGAGAGAGGGAAGGAGGGAGGAAGGGTACAGGGAGAGAGGGAAGGAGGGAGGAAGGGTACAGGGAGAGAGGGAAGGAGGGAGGAAGGGTACAGGGAGAGAGGGAAGGAGGGAGGAAGGGTACAGGGAGAGAGGGAAGGAGGGAGGAAGGGTACAGGGAGAGAGGGAAGGAGGGAGGAAGGGTACAGGGAGAGAGGGAAGGAGGGAGGAAGGGTACAGGGAGAGAGGGAAGGAGGGAGGAAGGGTACAGGGAGAGAGGGAAGGAGGGAGGAAGGGTACAGGGAGAGAGGGAAGGAGGGAGGAAGGGTACAGGGAGAGAGGGAAGGAGGGAGGAAGGGTACAGGGAGAGAGGGAAGGAGGGAGGAAGGGTACAGGGAGAGAGGGAAGGAGGGAGGAAGGGTACAGGGAGAGAGGGAAGGAGGGAGGAAGGGTACAGGGAGAGAGGGAAGGAGGGAGGAAGGGTACAGGGAGAGAGGGAAGGAGGGAGGAAGGGTACAGGGAGAGAGGGAAGGAGGGAGGAAGGGTACAGGGAGAGAGGGAAGGAGGGAGGAAGGGTACAGGGAGAGAGGGAAGGAGGGAGGAAGGGTACAGGGAGAGAGGGAAGGAGGGAGGAAGGGTACAGGGAGAGAGGGAAGGAGGGAGGAAGGGTACAGGGAGAGAGGGAAGGAGGGAGGAAGGGTACAGGGAGAGAGGGAAGGAGGGAGGAAGGGTACAGGGAGAGAGGGAAGGAGGGAGGAAGGGTACAGGGAGAGAGGGAAGGAGGGAGGAAGGGTACAGGGAGAGAGGGAAGGAGGGAGGAAGGGTACAGGGAGAGAGGGAAGGAGGGAGGAAGGGTACAGGGAGAGAGGGAAGGAGGGAGGAAGGGTACAGGGAGAGAGGGAAGGAGGGAGGAAGGGTACAGGGAGAGAGGGAAGGAGGGAGGAAGGGTACAGGGAGAGAGGGAAGGAGGGAGGAAGGGTACAGGGAGAGAGGGAAGGAGGGAGGAAGGGTACAGGGAGAGAGGGAAGGAGGGAGGAAGGGTACAGGGAGAGAGGGAAGGAGGGAGGAAGGGTACAGGGAGAGAGGGAAGGAGGGAGGAAGGGTACAGGGAGAGAGGGAAGGAGGGAGGAAGGGTACAGGGAGAGAGGGAGGAAGAGAAGGAGAGAGGGAGAGAATAAATATACTGGCATCCACTTCTAAACCTTCTAAATTAGTCTTACAACTTTGTAATCCTTCATTTTCTGTTAAATTCCACTAATCTTATAGGAAAAAATACTAAAATATGAGCCAAATTCAGGAAATTTACTTATTACTTATTACAAACCCTCACACATTATGATTCTTAATACAACTATAATTCAAGATAATTAGAAATTTTTATGATTCAGATTTTTGTGTTTTTTGGCCTTACTACCTCCTACTGGTCTTGAAACAACAAGGCAAATCCATTAAGAAAAGTGAAAAGGGTTAGAACATAACTGCACATTTACTGAAACTCTATTTACTCAGTCCAACTTATTACTGTTGGTGTTCCAGTCTTCTCACATCTATTTTACACTGAAATAGAGTTCCTGATGACTTCTACCTTTTTAGTTTTGATATAATATTAATCAATCTGGCACTCCTGGGGATAAGGAAGCTCATCTGAAGAACACGATATGTTATCTATACAATACACAGGTGTTTGATACATATAGAATGACGCAATTAAAATTCTCATTAAAATCCTCTTAACCTCACTGATATTCTTTTAAACCATGTCAAAAAAATTGAGAGAAAGTATGTTTTCACTTGCAAAAAAATAGATAACAGTGTTGGCATCCCTCAACTATATTTTATTGAAGTTATACATAAAACATAATAGAACATAATAGAATAAAACTTTGACTTCATTCAGGTACTTTTAATGGAATTCTGATTCTATAAGAGCAGATCCAGGGTCTCAACACACTTAATTTTTTTCTTGTATACAAGCTCTAAATAGACAATTTCATCCAAGAGCAACCTGAGACACCATTACATAATCCAATCAACATTACATGCAGATACCAGTATGATTCGTACATTAATGCATGTACATCATCCTCATGTCTAAAAATCACATTTTCCACTCATGCATGATATAAATGGAACTGTTTGCTGGGAAGATTAACCAAAACATCTCAATCTGTTACTATGAAAGCTATCTATTTAAGTTCAAATCAATCCCACCTGAGTTGCAGACTTACACACTGCTGTCTTCAGGTACAGATTGTTGGGCTAAAGTCACTTATGGTGAGATACTTTCTACACAAGCTGACAGTTCTGAGAATCTTGATAGTGCTAGTTTTGCTGTACCATCTCTAGATTTTAATCCATTGATGTAGGATCTCCGCTGACCACTACTTTTGATAGATACATATAATCTTCACATGAGAAAAGTCACGAAAAAAATACCAACATGAAATATATCAAACTAGTCAAATTGCTATAAATTCTTCTAGTGATCGCATCAACTTTGAATATTATGGTGAATCAATATGTGATTCCTTAAATCTTCACTATCTACAGCCTGATAGGAACAGTGTGGGCATGTTGATGATTTATCTCCTGAGTGTACACATGACACATGCCTTTTCAGAAGCACATCTTGGTCAGTTGTGTATGGACAAAAACGGCATGCAAATGTTTGACCTTTGTTGTGAGTGCGTAAATGCCTTTCTAGACTTTGCTTTGTAATGGCACTATAGGCACAATATTGGCAAGAGTATGGCTTCTCTCCTGTGTGTCTCCTCATGTGGTTTCTCAAGTTAGTGGTGAAGTAAGTAGTATATTCACAATATGGACACTGGTGCATCCTGTTGGTGGCTCCAAGTCCCCTCCCACCTGCAGGAGTTCCGTTCTTGCTAGTCCTTGGGGCATCACTGTCCAGATCCACCTGTTGGGGATGTCTTACTTATTTATGGAAAACAATTTTCTTTCTCTACTATATACTTACTTAATAGTATTAAGATTAATCAAATATACTGCAATTGTGGCAGTTGACGAACTTGTTTCTTTCTTGACTGGTCCATTTTAAATCTTTTAATTTCTATGGCAGAATTCTATTGATATTTGTTAATGTTACTTCAAAATTTCAAACTTAAAGACGGAGAAAGAAAGTAATTAAAAAATATAGAATTTACGGCAAACCAAAGTCTACAGAAAACATACATTAAGTTCTTGCATTCACTGAAATTAACAGTTGAACTACACATTCTAATTGCAACATTTACCCATAAAAATATATATGGTTTATGAAACTTCAGGTTATACATTGGTCATAACAATTATCCCAATGTATACTGCCTTATTATCCCATTTCTAAATTTGAAGATGAAAATCATGTAGACATTATGTATATACACACAAACACTCATTCCCTTATTGCTAAACTTGTACTACATCACAAAGTACTACAAATAGGATGGGTATTCTACACCTAATAAAAAGTAAGAACTTTTCTTTATAACAGTAATTTAGAAAATACCAGATGTTTATTTTATAATTTAATGTTCAATGAAAAACCTTTCTTTGATCAAAGGAGCTTGAATAAATCAAACAATTTCATCTTATGTATTCCATTACTAATGAAGTGAAAATTAATCCAAAAGTATCCCAGTTGTAGGTACTCCGTAACTCTCAAAACCCAGATTACTGCAATCATTCCTTTCCAGAGCTATTGGTCACAATCATAACTTAAAGCGAATGAATTACCCTTTCCGTGATGATTGAAAATGTGATTGTTTAGGTTTCCTTTCTGTGCCGAGCGATGCGGGCAATGGGGACATGCAAAGGGCATTTCCCCGGTATGAGTACGGACATGTTTGACAAGGTGGTCCTTTGTAGTTGATCGATAAGGGCAGTACTGACAGCAAAAGGGCTTCTCTTTCGTGTGCGTACGCATGTGGGTCCTCAGGTTTGTGGTAACATTGGAAGCGTAGGAGCAGTAGGGACATTGATGGATCTTGGAGGAGGTGCCGAGGACTTGTCCCGGTGTGTGTCTGCTTGGCACGCTATACTTCTTTTTCTCATTGTCCAGCCCTGCCTGTAGAGTATGCCCATCTTAACATCACATTACAGATACAAATAGAAGCA